TCAAAGTGCTGAGATTAACCTCACAACCTTTAGCTATGCTAACACGCTGTATTTCTGGCCACCAGAGACCCTTCTTTCTCTTCTTTCTTTCAAGATGCACCCTGCTGCATCTTGAAAGTCCCTGGCCACACATTTCCTGTGTGTATGTGTTCTGTCTACAGTACAAACAATACAAAAACCCCTTAAAAATAGTCCTTTTTATATATTTTTGCCATTTCACTTTTAACAATGTTTATATATTTATTAATTTTTAATCCCCATTTTTTCATCAGACATTCCAGTATTTTTTTTAGCACCATTACAGCTTCTACTTTAGTTTTGAATCCTTGTGAATGTAAATTGTATGCACAAAAGTATTTTTGGGGCAAAAATGTGTTATTCAGGATGCAGCTGAACTAAAAGCCACACACAGACACAAAACAGCAAGAAACTGTGCTTGCAAGGCAAAGCCGAGTTAGCGTGGGAGTGCGTGTTCTTAGCTCACTGTTTGATTTGCACCTGCAAAATTCACCAAGATGGGTTTTACAAGCAGGTCACCCCCACTTCCTGTGCTGATGAAACATTTATACTGCCTCTGAGTAGAGTGCTTATCCTGATTCTGGACAAAAAAATTCTGGTATAACGGTGTTTTTGTACAAAGGTGAAAAAGAGAGCGAGACATGATCCCGCAGGGTTATAAACTATGCGGAAAACAGAAAGGGAAGATCCCACTTACTGCTGATTTTTGTGTTATTTCCCTTTCCACTCACACGGATATCAGACGGGTCGTTTTCAGTGGTTGCATTTTTCAAAGCTGAAAACAAGAAAGGAAAAAAACTCTTTAGGAATCAGAAACAGAGTGAGCATCTAGTTGGAAAGCTAATCAAACTATGCTTCTAAACCACATGTACTGCAAAGAGTAACAGCTAAACGATGTGTCACCGTTTTCTGAGCAATTATACTGAAGTGTTTGATAAGAAACTGCAACTAATCTCTCCTCCACATTTTTCACTTACTTTTCTAAGAGATTGCCTTCAGTTCTGATTTCCATTTAATGTTTCCTGCCTAAGCACCTAAATTGAAGGTTTAAAATAGCGTGGCGTGCTCATTGCACTAAAGCACATGTGGAAAGTTTAAATAAAGGCTAAATAATAGGGTACAAAAATTGGAAATATGTACAAAAAACTAAAATCTATATGAAATATCGAGATTTGCTTTTCATCTTCATACCGATCGTGTTATTTTCAGTCTATTTTTCCAAGGAAAGGTTCTCTACAAAGACAAATTTAGCATCTGACATGTTCTGACATAAATAAGCTAAAGTATTTATCAATAAACTGTCAAGTTAACAATAGTTTTATAACAACAGCAGCAAAATAGCAAACAGGGTCTATATCGTTTTACTTTACCAACAGCACTAACTTCATGTCTTTTACGTAACATTTGAGATAACAGTCTGTATGTACATGAGACCAGTTAATATATATTTTAA